GGACCTGACCTCATCAGGCAGTTACCCATGTGCTCAGATGCTGTTCCTCCTCTGAGACATCACCTTCTGTCCCCTGACCACTTGTGGGGTCTGGGAGTTTCAGGTAGACATGATCATGGTAACCTGACCAGAGCCTGGTGGACTCCTCTACCGTCTCTAATTCAAAGGGGCCATTAGTTGTATGGTGGCCTCTCTGGGAACTGGGTGTTAGGTCCCTCCTGCGTCACGCCGTGGCACTCCCTCCTTTTCTGTGACTGCCCATCGTGGTGGGGATGGACGGACTCGGCTTGACTCTGAGCCTGAGCTCACTGATGGGTGTGGATATTTGGGAAATGGTTGGGGAAAGGCCAGGGGCAGGGAACGTGCCCAGTCCTACATGGGGGTCACACAGCCAGTGGGAGGCAGTGGCTGAGCAAGGCACGTGCTCAGGTGTCCAGGCTCAGACCCGACCTGGGGCCATGAAACACCTTCCAGGTCCCACCAGCATCCTGGAGCCTGCTGAGGGCCTGTTTATCTGGAAGCAGCCAAGAGAGAGCTGAGGGGTCAAAAACCCAGTATCTATGGCTGGGGGAGGCTGGAGAAAGAAGGTTAGCCGGCAGGGTGCCGGGCTCCCGCCAACTCGCTCCATCCTTGTGAGACTTCTGTATTGTGAGCAGAAGCAAATTGGAGACCCTCAGAAATCCCCCTGTTCTATGTCGATACTGTTTTAAAACCTCTTCCCATTGGCAGTGGGATGGAGTTTTGTTTTGATTCTGCAAGGACAGTGTTGGAGCTGGTTGTTTTATAAATGGCTTTGAGTATGATGCAGTTAATTTTCTTAGGGAAGAAAAAAAGTTATCTGATGTGATCTTGCCATTCTCTTAGAGGAACAGCTGTTGGTGTTTGCAGGCATAGCCATTAGAGATAAGTTGTCTTTTGACATCTTTACCTAGGTTTTTGTTATGTCAGATAAAATAAAAATAGGTTATTTGGTGCTACAGTTTGTAATGCATTTATCTCAAAGGGTCAGCTGTTGAATTAAGGATGGAACCACAAACACTGATATTTGCTTTAAATCCACCTCTAGAGAAGGTAGGTTCTCTTAAGAATCTTTGACTTTATCCTCTGAAGGAAGATAAAGCAGACTAGGGGCTTTTTCTTAATAGTATCGTTCTATTTATATGCACACACATACTTGAACTTGTTTTAATTTAGGCAGGAAGGGGAAAAAAATCATGAAAGTGCCTGGGTTCCTGAGCTGTCTTCCCATCATCCCAGCTCTCTGTGAAACTTGCTCTGTAGCGAAGTTCTCAGTAGAGATTATTCATGTAGTTTCTTCTATAAACTCACACGGGCTCCCTTAGCTAGGCCGCTGTTAGGGTTTTGGTATTAGCAAAGTTTTGCTTTTAACAAAGTACTGCAGTGATTCAGGGCATGTATGAACTATGGGATTGCTCTGTTGAAAGCCTCCTCACCCCTCATCTGTTCACTGTCCACCAGCATATCAGCTACCAGAACTCAGGCTCATTCTTCGTGTGTTTTTTCAATCCTAGTAGTGGGACAATTGGTGATGATCCTGTGCCATTTTTTGAGTCCCTAAGTATATAAACAAAGCAACTTTTGATGAGCTACCCTGCCTGTGAGGTTAAGTCTCCAGTCAAGAAACAGAGCCCGTGTGTGTGTGTGTGTGTGTGTGTGTGTGTGTGTGTGTGTGAGAGAGAGAGAGAGAGAGAGAGAGAGAGAGAGAGAGAGAGAGAGAGATTTTGAAGGAAGGTAATTAACTACAGACCATAAACCTTTATATTTCACTTGAATCAACTCGATAAGCTAGTCCAGGCAAGTCTGAATATCCGCAGTGATAGCTAATGCATAAGCTATCATATAGTGAATGGCTTATCATGTGGACTCTCAGACGGGTTCTGGCGTCAAAGATGAAAAGACAATATAAAAGAACATGGCATCTTTATGTTACAGTAAAGCGAGTTTGTGTAAAGAACCTAGTAAATACCACAAGTGTTATTTTATTTTGGAACACTTTATGCCCTTTTGTCACTAAGTAGATATGGGGCTGGGGACAGATTGGGGAAATGGCTTTCATACCATAAAGCAACTTTTTGGTAAAGCAAAAGATAAATTCCTGGCATCTAGTCCCTTAGTTTACTCATTTACTAATATTTCCCTGACACCTCTACTGGTTTTGTAGCGTCTGAGGGAAGACAAGTGAGAAGCTGGCGGAAAATGGCTTCTCTTCCAGTCATTTCCTGTGGAAGTGGGAACCCACTGTCTGTTTCTACCTTTGTAATAGAACTTTGTTACCTGAATAACTAGACCGGGTCTGAAAGTAAAGAGTGTAGATGAAAGGGTGAGAGATGAATGAATGTGCGTGTGTATGTGTGTGTGTGGGTGGGGGGGGGCATTTGCAAGTATGAGGGGACTGCCTACATTTTTACTTATTGTCACTGGGAGATGCTGCCTAAAGCATGCCCTTCTTGCCCACGCAAGGCATCTTGGTTCTTTGGAAATGTGAGCAGGGGTGAAATCTCCCATCAGTGAACACAGTTGTAGTGACCGTGAATTCAGTTACAGTGACATTCTGGACATTGGCACTCGTCACCACTCTTTATCTGCCCTCACAGCTTTCACTGTTTGTGTTTTGCTGCTTTGCTCCATCACCGACAGATTCATGTCTTGTTTTAGGGGAAAGCTCCTTAGATTCGTGTGTAATGGCTTCTATAAAATAAGAGTTCTCCTGCCTAGAAAAACGTAGCAGTCTTAACAAGTTAAGCCCGTATTTATAATACTGTTTCATTAAGGATAAGTATGTAATTTATAGTTAATTTTTCTCAGCTTCCAAGTGGGCTTTTCATCTTAGACATTAGGAAATGGGACTGGAAGAAGGAAATTTAAAAAGACAGGAAAAGAGAAAAAACAAAAATTGAATACAAAAACACACAGGCATGCACAGTTTCTTTCCTGCGTAATTTATATTAAACTTAGCAGATTCAGAAGCTGATAGGATAAACAGCCCCAGATAGTTTCTCCTTGGCTTATACTTTCATCACAGGTGTACCTTGCTCATTTATAATGCAGTAGCTTGCTATTTAAAGGAAGAATACTTCAAGTACTTTGGCAGGCTAAAAATGAGCCCCTAAAAGCTTATGTAAACCTACATTTATCTATTTGCAACATAAAAAGTAGTTCTCAAATTCAAACCCAAAATATTTACAAAGGTATCATGTGCACATACATGTTACACAGTTTCTTTGCAAGTTGCAAAACGAAATTTTAGACAATAGTCAGTTTGTTTCTTTTTAAATGTCTCAGTTGAAACATAAAAGCACAAACTATGGACACAACAACTTGCCTGGACCTTAGGGTGTTATACTGAGTGAAAATAGAAATACAAAAGGTACACACCAAATGACCCCTTTTATCTATAATAGCGTTCTCCAAACGATAAGATAACTGTAGGAGAACAGATGGATCAGGGGTTAGGGAAGGGGAGGGTGTGGCTACACTGGGGCCACTGCAGGGAGTTTCTTGGGGATGGAGCATCGTTATCTCCATTGTGGTAGGCATGCTGTGAACCTAGGCATGTGGTAACATGTCACAGGGCTATTCACAAAAAGCATACATACAAACAGTGAGTGCATGCAAAAGCGAGTAGAATCCATGTCATGCCTGAACTCTGGTTAATTGCATGTGTTGTGTCAATGTCAGTTTCCTAATTTTGAAAATGTATTAGTTATATAAGGTGGTACCTTTGGGGGACACTGGGTGATGGATACACAAGATCTCTCTACTGTTCCTGCAGCTTCTCGAGAGTCTATAATTATTACAAAAGATAAAATGAGAAACAAAGCCTTCTGCTGAAGAAAGGTTTAAAGCTACTAATTAAACACACTTAGGAAATAATTTAAAAGCGGTATCCTTTCAGGAGGCAGCACTTTTAGATATAGACACTGAAGACTGTTGGTTTAGCTTATGCTTAGAATCCGGGTCTGTTAGTCTTAAAGCTATGTAATTTAAAGCAGTTATTACTTCCATAACTTCTATTAAAGTTGTAGGATCAGGAAATTTTAGAGTGAGCCAGGGATCTTACAGAGAATGTAGGTCAAACTTCCAGGTTACACCTCTAGGTTTTGGTATCCGCATTTGTAACATGAGGGCTTTGTCCTAGATTCTTTGTAATGTCCTGCCTTGTTCTAAATTTTATAATCCACAACTTTACAACATAAACTACAGACAGTTTAATAGCAATCTTATAAATTTTGCTTCAGTATTTATTGCATGAGACAAATATCTGTTGATTGCAAGTATGGATGCAGATATGTCCTATTTCTCATTTAACACCGTCTCACATATTGTAAACACTTGGAGAGTAAAGTACCTGGCCTAATTTTTACCACTTAGCTAAGGTTGATGATTTTCCAGGATAGAGGGTGTAGGCAGTTTTCTTGAGATGCCATACCATTATATAATCCTTGTATAAAACATGTGACTTTTATCCATTTAGGTATTTATGTAGAAAGGGAGGTTTAATTGACTCGGGTCAGTGCCTTCCAGTCTGGGTCCACTGACTGCCCGCCAGACCTACTCAATCCAGTCCTGAGGGGACTCTGGCCAAATAGGAAAGCTCAGGAAGCTTTTAAAAGTGCCCACTGCCATTTGGGAACAAATGCAGATAATGCTCTCTCAACGACCGATATAGCTTAAGCGTATTTACTCATCTCAACTGCTTTTCTTCTTGGCATGCTAAAAACTGATTATCTTGGGGAAACTGAGCCCAATATAAAAACAGCCTCAGACATCCCAGGGCCGTGTCTGGCCTTGCGACAGCATACATGTACAAAAGGATATTCTCAGCAGTAACATTTTGTTTTGTGGTATTGATTTCCCTTCAGTCTATAACAATTTAAGTCATAGTATTATAAAAAACAAAACAAAGGCAAAACCAAACGAGCAACTTACAGCGTCAGTGTAATCATTTTATTAACAAAAGGAACCCATAGGGTTCAAACAAGAGTACAAAATGCAATCTGTATTTTTTCCCAGTGGGTTAAATGGTTACATTTTTAATAATAAAAATAAAAAGGTTTCCATAGTTAACTTATAAAAAACATAACCCCTGCCTATTGAGTTTCTTACTGTGCAAAACAAAAACAAAAAGTAAAGTTCAGCCCACAGAAGGGTTTTGTGTGCCCAAACCTGTATATTTTCAACTTCAAAATTTTTGCATCAAAAAGAAAAATTCTAAGGCCATGGTTTCTTTCTTTGAAAACTAAACAAGAGGGCGATATCTGAGCAAATACAGCAGCTAAATTTTAACCTTCATTTCCAAGTATTGTCTGTTCCAATGTAGGATTTTCTACATTCATGAAATAATTTCTTGATTATAAAAAGAAGTATGCAGTTTCAACCCACTGGTTAAGGTCAGATATACTGATATCAATTCAATAAGGCAAATCATACTATTTAGCTCTTCTCCTAAGTGCTACATCATCAGCTTTCCTTCAGTTTTGTGGGCACACGTCATGATTTCTCTAATAAAGGTGACAACACAATCCCGGTAAAGGATGCTAGTAAGTAGTTGCTTTTCTACCTGAAGCCAAATAATTAGACTTTCCTTTCTTCATACTGTTTCATTTCTTCCCTCTGTTTTAGTATCATGGAGATGGACAAAGTTTCAACAAAGCATGTAAACTGCAACTGAGAAGTCAACAAATGGTGGAAGATGATCTTTTTTGAAGTAAAAATAAAACTGTTTCAACAGTTAAGTACACATATCAGTTTAAAAAAGGCACGCACAAAAAAAAAACCAAGGCAGCATAAGAAAACAAAGCAGGGAGTAAAGTTTTGTGACAACTTTGGTACCAGGATTGTTGGTATAACAGTTTCGCGTTGTGATTTTAAACAGTGGCTTATGCTGAAAGAAATGCCTGCGATGCTTACATGATTACAGAGACCTGTCCAGACAGGTGAAAAGCGCACATTTACCTAGCGTTTGTAGAAAAATCCCTGATTGAGTGGCCAACTATTTTTTAAATACAAAATTTAACCTCAGAAGAATTTTTTTTTCCATTTCTCACGAAATATACCGATTGAAAGAAAACTTAATTGTTCATTGTTCTGTTGAATAAAATATTCTGCATGGAAGCACCAGGGTTTCTAGATCAATCCCTTAGGACATGGAGGAAACCAAAGGCCTTGTCTGGTCCAAAATCTCCATCATGGGGATTCCTGCCTCCCTTCTCCGAGCATCCAGAAATGCTTTCAGCTCACAAAGCCAACAGATTATAGGAAAAGCAAGTGAAACTGTGACGGTGAATAGGAGGGGGAACCGTGAAAACACTCCTCAGACTTAGCAGCAACACAATCTTGTTGGTCGGAATATCCTGAGGCTAAATGATAACAAAATATTGCACCAAAACAATAAACAAAATCACAGTTTAAATATAATTACTAAAGAATTGGATTGACAAAGGACAAGGCAGTGACTGCCATCAGTAGACTTAAGTCTCCTGATAGGAATGAAGTTCATGCCTTTTTTTAAAAATGGCATTTAAAGAATGTTTTTTCTTTGATTTTGTATTTACTTTCAACTACCCTTTAGTATACATACATTAACTTCCAAAGAATGCTAATCACATAGGTGTTTCCCTTGGTTCAGCATCTGATGGAGTGATGGGGAGATGAGCTACTACTGCAAAGTAGCAGACACTTCAGAGACTTAGGAGCCTGAGGTTAAAACAAATCTGATCACCCACTAGAGGTAGGTTAGGAAAAGGCCTTTTTTAATGTTTCCTGTGTATTTATCAGGGCATCCTGAGGATGCAAACTCCTCCCCCTCCCCATCTTTTTCTAATATGCTCTTAGGTAAATAAGACATGAGGAATATAAAAATGTATCCTGTTAAAGCACTTTTAGAGGGTAAAAGCACTTTTAGGGGGTAAATTTGTATCCTGTTAAAGCACTTTTAGGGGGTAAAAGCACAGCCTTCAACTAAGTGTCTTTCCATGTTGAAATCCACCTTTCCCCTTTGAACTGACAAGCCTTTCAAGGGACTCTTTCTTGGTTTCATAACACTGTGCCACTAGTTCATAAATTACATTTTAAAGTACCATCGGAAGAGTGAAAATGGAGTCACTGCATTAGGACCCCATAAGACTGTGGTCTCAGGAAAGAATTCTTTCAAGGACCACAGTCTTAGGGCACAAGGGACAGACCGTGAAGACCCTGGCACCGAGTGTCTTGCATGTGCTCAGATAGGACTCTTCCTGCTCATGCATGGCCTTGTGCCACTACCTTCTCCAAAACCATCTCCTCCCAGTGAGTCCGGAGCTTAGGACCCCTCTGTTCTACTCGGAGAAACCTTTTCAAAGGCATACTCACACAGTGTCCCCACTGGTGACACAGACTCCTTTCTCCCGGTCAGTGCAGGCAGCCCTCACTTACTCTGTCACCTTCAGGACTTCTGTTGCATTCTGTGACTTCTCACATCTTCATCCCATTATTTAAGGGGACATACGGCCATAGCACAGACTGTGCAGCAGTCCCATCGGCCCACTGGAAAGTTCATGTGTTAAATTCTTGGTGCTGACGTTCACTTACATTCTTAAGTGAATCTTCCGTCCCTTTTCCCCAGAAGGCAGGGGGGAAACAGCCAACATTCTAACTGGGTGAGGGTCACAGTGATTTCTGAACTATGTTCAGAGAATGAAGGAGACAGTCTGGCTCTCCTCTACGTCAGTGGGATGTGGATCAACCTGAAAAGGAGAGCAGACCACGATCACCCTGTAGCATCCTTTAAAATGCTTCTAGTACCTATTCCTAATTCTATCGCGGCTATAGATTCTAGTACCTATCCCTAATTCTATGGCGGCTATAGATTCTAGTATCTATTCCTAATTATATGGCGGCTACAGATTCTAGTATCTATTTCTAGTTATATGGCGGTTATAGATTATAGTACCAATCCCTAATTATATGGCAGCTATAGATTCTAGTACCTATCCCTAATTATATGGCGGCTATAGATTCTAGTATCTATTCCTAATTATATGGTGGGTACAGATTCTAGTATCTATTTCTAGTTATATGGCGGTTATAGATTCTAGTACCTATTCCCAATTATATGGCAGTTATAAGCCAAGTTGCTCCGAGCCTGAGATTATTACTAATTCCCCGTAAGGCCGCTTCAGTTCTCAGTATTCCACAGCCACATTTAACACCTTAAAGGTAACCCCTGGTCCGCTATAGCCCACTATAGACCACAAGGAAAATACTACAAAGGTGGTAGATGAAGCAGTGAGAATCTACCATCCCGTAAAGAAACTGTTCTGTATGTATCCCCTAGTAACTAGGAATTCACAACAGACACTTACAAAGGGTCATTTACAAAGAGCACAAAGTCTGCTTTTGTTTTGTTTACCTCTGAATAAAGAGGTGGGGGCTGGAACCGGAATTCCTGAATGCAGGCAAACATAGGGCAGCATGCTTCTCCCTCAGAGCTGGGGGGCTGAGGGTAAGTGGGGACGTGTCTGGAGAATTCTTCCTCTGACACAACGTCTGCATAATTGGGCGGAGCTGAAACAAAAATGGAGTTGGATCTAAGAAATCCATGCAAGATCTAATTAGAGTAATCTCTTCTGAACTCTTACATAAACAAGACAACTATCTAAATTTGAATATAAAACAATGGTATTTCCCCCTCTAATCAGCAAGTTTTTGTGCCCATTACAACAAAAACATATATAATATTCTGCTTCTATTAAACCAGCATTGATTATATTCTCCCTTTTGAGATGTGTGTTATAGTCTAGGTTAAAAAAAATCATTGAAATGTGGCTACAGAAAAGACATAACACTGTATTTTAATTCTATTTTTTATTGTTGCACTAATATAAATCAGAAACGTAGATTTTATTCCTGGGTCTGGCCTCTGTAGCTTTGTATCCTGGATAAGCTAAACTCTCAAAGTCCCTTCCAAAAATAATGTTTTATGATTTTCAGAAATAGGAAGGGTAAGGATAGTGGCAGTGGCAGTATTAAATGGTATTTGAGCACTTCCTATCATGACTGCCCTGTGGTAGGTACTTTCTGTGTAAAGCGTCATCCTGAAAGAACCTCAGCACAGTTTACCTTCAGGCTGTTCCGGCAGGGTCAGTGTCAGCCAGCTCATATCCATGCTGAACTGGCTGGCGACGCTGGCATTCCTGCTGCCAATACCATTGTATGGAATTGTGCCAATCACTAAGGGCAGCTCCAGCATCAATTTTTTAGCACCAGGAATGTGAATATATACCTATTATAAGAGAGAGAGAGAGAGAGAGAGAGAAAGGGAAACACAAAAAAGTTAAACCTGATAGTAAATAGGGCTACTTAATTTATTTTCTCATAGAAACAAATGCCTTTGTCACCTGCCACCACCCCCAATACAACTGTACATTGTCCTGACCAAATAAAATGAAGACCAAACAAAGGGCATGCACAATATAGTGAGCGCTCTGTGACGGGGAACCATGGCCTTGACATAGTTCATTGTTACTGAGCCCGGCATACGTAACGACGACAGAAAATTAAGTACATGTTCTCAACACAACAAGCACCCTTCATGCACCTTCATTCTTTTGTGTTATGTAATTAAATCCTGTAGGGGCATAGTTTTCGATTAAAAACAAAGGCCAGTTTTCATAGATTCCACAATTTGTTATAATGCTGCTGACCTAAAAAACCCATTTTTGGGTATTAAATGTACATATTCACAGTTACATGCTATCAGTTATTGCTCTATTCTACATACTTTGAATTTTAGAAAGAGCTCAGCTTACAGCTAAGGAATAGTCGACTCTGATGATGCAGCAGTCTAGGATGGACGGGGTGACAGGCGGGATTTTTAGCATCTTCCCGTTCCAGGAGTCCGTGCTCCCAGAGGCGATGTGGTTCCCTCGCACGTGGGCGACCATGTGCCGCACGGTCTTGGTCTTCCCACTGGCCAAGTATGTCTGGGTTTGGAAAATAGCAGCTTTGGGAACAATCAGACGAGAGGAACAATTCTCTATTTCTGCATAGATTGGAATAGCTTCTCCTAAAAAGAAAATGAAAAAAACCTTTAGAAACTTTTCAGAAAGTTCTCATCACAGTGGACTAGAGCTGTGATCAATTAAAGCTGGCATGTTTGCAACATAACTTGAGCAAACTGGGAAGCCCTGATGGAAAACTTATATTGTACATCTGAGTTGGAGAAATGAAAAGTCACGGCAGGCTGTGGTAGATGTTGTTTTCTAATTATTGCATTATTCACTTTTCCAGCGTAACAATATTAGGTTACCAGTTTTACAGATATATAAATGACCAGTATCTTTAAAAATTAAGATAAGACATACAAATCAATGATTAACTGCCATGTTAAGTACAAAAGACCACTAGCAAACTCAGCAATGCCCATCCAATTAAAAATCTGCCCAACAGGAGAACTAAGCCTTCACTTTTAAAACAGATGGCAAGGCACAAATAAAACACTGGCTGGAGGAGGTGAGTTTTACATTCACTTGCACATCTGCCATCATACCATTCCCTATTCATTCTTAACAAGCCAGAACCCTTGCATGGGGGCCAAACCCACCGTACGGGGTTGGGCCCTTCACTGGTAGTCTGACTATTAAGTTGTAACACCACTTACAATCAGTGGTGGTAGTCTGACACCAGTCTGACCATTAAGAGAGCCAGGATCTGGCCCCATCTGTTTGCATTCCCAGCATGAGGCAGGATGCCTGACTCTGTTCTGGTAGTCCAGCAGCCCTTCTCTATGTACCACTGCTCTGGGACTCTTTGGCAACATTAAAATAAGATGCTGGCCTTTCCCCACTTTTCTAGTTTTAGTCTTTGTTACTAAAGTAACAGGATTACCAGGAATACCAGGAGTCTTACTGGACCCTACTAATCTGTTCAGAAATATGTACATACCAATTATTTATATTAAAGCCAGAAAATTTTATTATTCATGTTTTCAAATAGCATATACTTCATAAATTACACAACACATTATTTTAAAAAATCACTTAACGTTAGCTCATAAAATTAATAAATCTTGCATTTGAACTTTTAAACATCTTGCTTACCATTGCAATAGCCCTTTCTTTCAATTTTGGCACTCAGTGAGACTGGACCAGAAGTGAAAAACGAGCAGCCAACCATTTTCTCTTCAGTTTTCAATACAGGGGTCTTGAAAATTTCAAATAATACAATGACTTTAATGAAACAAGTCTAGGAAATTCACAAAACTTAAAATTATCTTATTTGTCATTAAGTAGCTGTAAATACTTGTAACTGTCTTCCAAAAAAACAAATCAAGCTTTCTTAGCCTCATATGACATATTAGGTAAAAGACTTAGTGAGACACAAAGCATTCAGAGTCATTCCCCTTTTAGGAAAACTAAGGTGAATTTTCAGATTCCAGCTAGGGTGATTCCATCCTATTTTACCCTGTATGTAGTCTTTATGCTTCTGGGAAATGATTTACCATCCCTTAAAAAAAAGCAATCAAAAACTGCCTAGTACCTATTAACATGACCTACTTTTGTAAAGACTTTATGTGTACATCAGGTAAAAGGAGAAATGATATAAAAATCAATAATAAGAATGTTCTGTGTGTTTTGGCATTTAAAATGTGGAATGAGCAAACAGCCTTTCTCCTTACTTCAAAATGCATTATTAGGCAGAAATTTCAAGTGTCCTTAACTTAGAATGGTTTTGGGGTTTTGTGTAATGACAGCAAAACACCCAGTGTAATAATGGATCCAAAAGATTATTGAACTCACCACCCACTTTCTATTCTTTGGCATCAAAAGAAACGATACAAGATTTAAAATGCTGTTTACAAGATGCACAAACCACAATGTCATTGTCAAACTCAAAGTTACAATATTTCTTTCTTTATAGAAAGAATAGTAAAGGATAAATAGTATCCCTTTTTTTGGCAAAAAATACAATCTCTTCAAATCATTTGCCACAATGTCCCCATAAATAGTTTAGAAATAGGTGACCTCCCAATTCTAAGTAGTTTTTAAAACTACAACACACTTAGATTTGTCAATTTACAAAAAAGGTGTTAAGTGGGTGGTAAGTTAGCGATAAACCAGGTCAGCTGGACGTGGGTTATTTTATGATTTGGGCCACAAGGGACCATGCAAAGAGGGCATATTTGTAATATTTTCACAATCTAAAGGTGGACATTAGAGTAAATTCTATTTCATGCGAGAATAGAGTTACACAAATTTTAACTGCTAGCTTTTCCCCTTATCTTTAAAAGCATTCGCTAGAAAAAGAAACCTGCAATATTAAAAACACATCTTTGTAACATCAGTATCACGATGGAAAATTTAAATTATCCCTGTATTTTCTGTGAAGTAAAAAAAAAAAAAATCATTCATATTTAAATGAAGAACCATTAGGTCCCAGTAGCTATCATGAAAAGTACAAGGTATAATTTTATATTATTTTGATAATACGGGTTTAGATAAAAGAATCTCGCTCATTAGCTCCCATCTTGCCTGTTCTGTTGTTACTTGTAGCCCAATCTTTCTTATCAGGCTGCAGTATTTCTGGTGATTATGAGAAGTTCAATGCTTTAATGTGGCCAAATGTGTCATAAGGAAATGATAAGTGAAAAGGCCCCCACGGCAGCTGCATGCACTTGCTTAATGTTAGAAAATGACATGGAAGGATCCATAGCATAATGGCCTGGGCTTCAATAACAGGCTGAGCGTGATTAATACTCTTCCATAATTACTGCTCCTCAACCTGCTATTACTGGAGAGTTTCGAATGCCACAGCCCTGTGAATGCGGCTGCTCTGGTAAAAGGAGCTACCCTCTGTGTGTGCATTATTATTATTAAGCCTTATTAATTCATTTCAAGCCTGTATAACTTTTTGGCAAAAGCAACCCTGAACAACAGGGCCATAATCAATAGTATTAACACAGACGATTTATAATTTGCTCAACCTAGAATCACATGTTTAGAGCGAATGCCTATGGGTTACAAGATTGTAACAGAAAGTGACAGAACAGATGAGCACTACACTGGCTAAATGTAGATGCCACTGTTGAAGGGAAGGAGGAAGACAGGAAGGAAGGAACTTACTAATAATGCTGGTGTGTTGACATCCATGGGCCGTATCACCTGGATTTCCCTCTTGACACTCTGATCAGACGCTTTGGGTCGTTCCAAAACCGCCCGCACACAGTACTGAATGCTTCCGTATTTCCCGGTGAATGAGGTTACCAAAGGTCTGACATAGCCAAAGAAATGAATGTGTAAGTTTATATTTCAGTCAAACAAAACCAGCAAAGCTCATTAACATATTGGTTCTGGTTAAAAGAAAGGAGTGTGAGCAGGGTAGGTCTGTTCAGGGCCCATTCAGGATGAGTGTGCACACCTGAGGGTCTGAAGGTACCTGGTACCCATCCATGTGGATGGCTATGTGGCAGGAAAGAAAATCTCCACAATCTTAGTACTTTCACTTACTCAGATGGAAGTTGAAAGCTAAATGGAAATTCGTGTTTTCCAGGCTGTAATAAGAGGATGCCTTCACCTAAAAAAGAGAATACACTGTATTTTAACTCAGGCTAGCATTAGATCAACAAGTTTCACCACCAAAATCAGATTTTCTTAAAAAGATGTTTTCCTGGCTATAATATCTAGTATACTCCAAAGAGTTCATTAAACTGAGATTTAGAGAATTAAAATTTGAATCAGTTTGTACCAAGTTTAATCAGTTTCAAATTATATATGACCGTCTATCTTTAAATAGACACTTATGCAAGTAATTACCATAAAATATCAGAGCCCAGAGCTCCCATATACATATGTGTACACACACATATATATATACATATACACATGTGTATATATACATATGTGTGACACACACACAAACACGTGTTTACCCCCTCTCTTACACTAGCATGAGCATACTAACATTAGTATACTATCATACTAACATGAGAGACCAATATGAAATTGGACCTAAAACTAATTTAGCAAAAAAAAAAAAAAAATCAATGGAACTATTTATTTTGGGTATACCACAAAAATCAGACTATTCCTTGGGCAGAGACGGGAAAGGAGGTGAAAAATTTACTTCGAATATCATGAATATTGAGAAGAATACTAAACAGCCAAACCATCAGGACAAATCATTAAACAAGATTTATACTCAGGCCTACAGATCCCTGGGGTATCTTGGTGGTTAACTTGGGGCACAGACTGGCTTTGCCAAGCACGGCCATGACCCTGTGCCCTGCCCTGGGTCAGCCAGCCCCATTTTATTTCACGCAGAGGCTTACCCTCAATGGTGAGAAGGCTGAGACACAAGGGGAGGATGCACCGTGCAAGGCCAGGGGCACTGCTGAGCTCTGATGAATGCACAGAGAGAAGCTGTGTCATTCAGATCCAAAGCCAGCTGTCAGTGTCGGTTGGGTGGCTGTCTTTATAAGAGATACTTATAAACTCCCCCTTCAGTTTATGCTCATAGATTCAAGTTTAGAACTAAATTCCTTCAAGGGTGGGATGATTAGGACCAAGAAAGGGCAGCGAGACTGAGAACTTGCTCTGAGATTTGCCTGGTCACTTGATACTAAAATAAAGATTTCTGCTGTATCCATTCATTTAAAAAATTTAAAAGGCAGATTTACTAGTGAGATTGGATATTTTTTCCTTTAAGTACTAGAGTTCTAAGACCTTAAATAACTCAGTGAACATTTTAACCTTGTACTTTTAGAAAACAGGAACACCTTATTGCCCTATTGTGTCTTTGAATCTATCCCAATTTTTAGTATGTAATATATTGGGGGAAAATAAACAAAGTATTTGCCATTAAGGTCATTCAAATAGAACTACTGCACAGGTAGGTGACTTGGAGGCAAGGTGAGTAAGTCACAGTGGTATGAGACCACATTAAATGATAGTGATGACAGTGATGACAGTGTTGGAGCGAGTCCCTGGGGCTCAGGTGTGCCCAGGAACTGCCCTGTGAGCCTCAGCAGTGTCTCAGCAGTGTCACAGCAGTGTCACAGCGGCACTAGAAGGCTGGGAAGCCACTCCCCTTTATAACTAGCAAAGGAGAGACCCAAAGAGACCCCAGTGCTGCTGTTCCTGAGAGCTGGGCTAAAGTCCTAATTTGTAATCATTAGGTTATTCACTATGACAATTAAAGTACCCTAAAATGTTTAAAATTGCGGGTTTCATTTGAGGTCAAAATTTATAGTGCTTAGATGTCAGGCACTGTGGATATAAAGATGAATAACTTCAGTCCTTAAACAGACCCGTGGGAGGAAAGGATGCTAGACACTTGTACAGGTAAAAACCATACAGTGCTGGATGGAGCCCGTGGAGCTGGGGACTGGCACTTTGAGGACAATGCCCACAGTGGATTTCAGTCAGGGTTGGCATGGAGATGAGTGGGAAGGGGTTTAGATGAAGAGAACAGCATGAGGCAGGGCAATATAGACATGTGTGGGGAATAGAGTGGCCCAGGATACTGGAGGAGGATAAGAGAGGGATGAAGTTACCTCTTCATAGAGAAAACAAATCAATATAGTGAACATTTAAAATGAGACTTTCAATCACCTCAAAACACAAATAGGAAAGAAACCTGAGGAAGTTGTTAAGTGTGGGTTATAGTATTTGGAATCAAATCTTTGTGTTTTCTTGCTCTTTCTCATTTATGCATTTAGAATTAAAATGGTTCCCAAGCTGAATCATTGGCCTTTTCCTTATGCCCTGAGGACGGCCATGTCACACGATGTTTCCTTGGCTAGTGGCCTTACAGCCAGAGCTTATAACTCAGGCGCCTGTGAGCTGTGGGAGCTTGAAGACCATTACAGAGTTAGAGACGTGGGCTCAGGAAGGATGAGGGACTCAAACAAGGCGATGCTGCTGGTGGGTGACCAAAAACTGAAGGTCTGTCTTGTCTTTCTACTACAATTCCTCAATGAAAGTATGAAGAAAATCATGACAGCAAATAGTTGGATTAGATTAACACCACCAAGAATTACCTGGAGAGATATTTTGAAAATAGATCCCATAGCCACACTTCCTGAAAATATACAAATTCTAACCATGTCTTCAGGTGATTGAAACTCAGCTAGGTTTTGGAATTCAATGACCCTTAGAATCCATGACTGTGTAAAGTTGCTAGCTTCTTCCAAGCTACAGATACTGGGAGTGATCTCTTTTTTCTCTATGAAACCAACTAAAACGGACTGTGATTTTTAAGTAAAACATAATTTTTACCAATATTTGTTATGACACATTCTAAAACAAGCTAAAGATACTCAAGTTGTCTATGTTTAGACATTCCATTCCATCAGAATGAAAAAAACAAACAAAAAACAAGCTCTGAATCACTATTTGTTAACCCAGAGTTTACCAAAGCCATTTTTTCCTTTTTTTTTTCTTTCTAAGCATGTCTAACTGCCATTCTTATATCTCTTTACTCAGTAGTTATGGGCCCAGAGAGAGTCCAAAGTCCTGGACAAAAACCAATTTAGCTCTCTCTTCCATGGCCCTTTACTCCAGTCAGCCATCTTGAAACTGTTGTCTGTGATGCTGTGGGAGGCACGTGTGAGCTGACTGATCCTGGAAACCATATTGATGAAAGGGCACAAAGGCAGGTGACAACTGTCACCTAACACACGGCACATTAATACAACAGAGAGCTTCAGTTCCAAATGCGTTTTTCCTCACTACAGTTTTTGGGATCACTCGATTCTCAGATACCTTGAGGATGTAACTGTGGACAGTTTACTTCTCCACAGGACAAGGCAAAACTGCACATTCTCTTGATTTGTATAAGACACAGCAAGGGTTAAACATAGACATACTGCATTTTACTCCTGTGTGTGTGTGTGTGGCGGGGGGGGGGGTCAGTACATTATCTTATTTTATAGATAAGAGCTGAAGCTGATGAGGCAGAAAGGTAAAATAGCTTCTACCAACTGAAGGAAGACTCAGTGTTCTTGGTAATTTTATGACTAATGGAAATCAGTATTTGCCCTTAATATTAATGGAAGAGCCCAGTAGTGAGTTCCCACATTGGGACTTCTGGAAAAGCCTACACTATTAACTGGACTTCACATGAGTGGGCAGAAAGCATAATCTTTCTTCCAGAAACTCTTACCATGCCCAGAACCCACTCTCTCTGAAGGCCTATGGGGGGGGGGGGGGCGGGGGCGGGGAGCGATGAAGAGGAAGCAAAGGATAAAGACAAAGATTATACAGATAGATGCAGAACTCTTAAGTTAACCCGTTCCTCAGAAGAGGGAAAGCAAGTATGATGGTCCAGAAACACTGCCTTTGAACTCCCACCTCTCAGGAATACCTTCCCTATTCCCAAGATTGACGTTTTGCTAATTCCTTATTAACCAAGAACGGGTGTCTAGATCCAGGATGGGACGGGGAGGCCCATAAACTCTGGGCGCCGTGGCATGGGACCTCATAGACTCGGGTTCTGTCCTCCATTCCTCAGGCTGAAAAGGACAGGACCTAGATCTTAGATGTTTCATTCCTGGCTGCTTATCATAGGTTTCCACGACAACGGCTCATTCCCAGAGGAAGGTCCTTGGGTGCTTGGGCGCCAGGTAGAGATACGCACCCACCGCACACTATCTCCCAGGTGTTGTGAGGTGGAGAGGAGGGGGCACAGGTATTGCGATCTGCGCATCACTGGCCACCAAACTAGCACAGGCCACCCCAAGGGGGGACCTCACTCCCAGAAGCCCGCCCCCGCACACCTGGCAGGTGGGCATCTGCCGGCGTGCCCCCTCCCAGGCCCTCCCTGGAGCTGCCCGCGGCCCGGAGGGGACTCCACGGTCCTCGCTGCGCTCACCGGCCGGGGGCTCGCGCAGCCTCAGGCGCACGTTCAGGTACTCCACCTCCGAGGCGGAGGCCGGGGCTGCGGTGCCAGCGCTCGGGCCCCAAGCAGCTGTGGCGCGGCCGTGGGCCTCCAGGCGCAGCGCGCGCAGGGCCACCGGCTCGGCCGCCTCCAGCAGCACGTGCCCCGCCACTGTCTCGCCGCTCGAGTAGCAGCCTTTGCTCTCATCCTCGAACACCAGACCCAGGCTCTTCACGCGACCCTCGGAGCCCATGGCTGCCGCGGACCCCGCCTCGCCGCCCATCCCGCTGGGCGACTCGGCTACGCCAAAGAGGTCGGCAGCAGCCCGGAGCCGGGGGCGCGAGCAGAGCGATGCCACTGTCATTGGCTCCAGCCGCACAGGAAGGGCTCTGGGTCGCAGCGGCCGCTGTGCTTTACCCCGAGGAGCCCTGGCATGCCGGTGGGGCCTGTCGCTTTAACAAACAACGCTGGGACTGGAAAGGGGCCGGGACAGCACATCCCCAGCGCGCCCATTGGCCGGTGGGGAGTCCCGCCTGGTGCTGATTGGTTGTAAATGGCCACCGAGTCATTTTATTGGCGCCTTCACGCACCGGCTGGCTCAGGTAGGCAGTGCGTGATCAGACCGTGGTGACCTATCGGGAGGCGCAGGTGAGCACGTGCACAGGTCGCTTATTGGTTGGGGGAAGGCACAGTCCTGGAGCACTGGCCAATAGTGATGTGGTGCGCCCATGTGGACAGATAGAGGGAAACAGTATCTGGGAGGGAGGGGGCGGAACCGGGAATCCCCGGCTTGTCACCGTTCCCATGGGTACCAACGGGGGCGGGGTTTCTGGCGGCGTGGGGATTGTTTGCAGGAGTCATTGAGTTTATACTAGAACATGAAGTTGTTGCCTAACTGGCTGTGTTTATGATTACATCTGAAATACTCTAGAGGAAATAGATGCCCTGGAAAGTGGAACTCAGCAATACTTCCTTAGGAGATTTGGGGGCCGGCCGCCTCGGAACGTTAATGGGCAAAAGTTGGCATCTGCTAACCTCCAGGTCCCTGCGTCCTGGTTCTCTGGAGTTTCAGAATTCTCAGCCTAAGAAAGAGCTTCAGACAGGAACAATTAAGGCTGTGGTTCTTCTCAACAAGCCTCCACCCATCGGGAGTTCTCCACCTGGCCTCACAGCCTCCCTAAGATGGGGATGGCTAGACCGGTCGTTCTTTACTGTTTGTAAATAAGGCCATGTCATGAATCAGGTCTGTTCCAAACAACACCAGCCACCCAAGTTTCTGCTCCACCCAAGTTTCTGAATCTGATACCTGATTCAGTATTGTAGTCCAGGAAAATTTCCAGTTGTTTTGATGACTTGTCCACGCCCGTGGCCCTTTTGTCTGCCCTTGGTTTCATTTTCTCCTTTACTCTTCAGTTCCTTCTCCATTCCTTCTAGCCTACCTGCCACTACCTGGCCATCATTTTCTAGCCCTTTTAAATTCTTCCTTTATAAAAATTCCAAGTTTGTGACCTATCACGGATTGATTAATCTCATACTGAGATGTAAAATCTTTCCTGATGTAGCTATTTCTTTTCTTTTTTTAAGGATCCCAAACTCAAGGTTCCTCTACTGCCCTCTTTGCGTTTAGATTATTAATGTGGAATTTTAAATAAGGCTTTACAAGTCCAAAGTTTCCTTATCACCTCTTAAAGTGGAAAAGGCCACAAATGCAGCTCTGCATAAAGTTCAGAAATCGCTATTACTCTCCAACCACTTTATCTAAAACACCCCCCAACATGCTCTTACTCTGCCCCTTTTCTTTATAACCCAAGTGGACCTTATATACTTTTGAAACACAGAGCCTGTTCTCATCATGTTGTTCCCTGTAGTCCCTAACACAGAGCTTAGCAATAAGTTTACAATAAGTGCGCCATAAATGTTTGTTGATGGAATGAATGACTCCTAAGTAGTATGATTGGGTCTGCAGTAAATGAGCAGTATTCTGCCTTTCACTGTACTATACTTCATCCTCTCTAGGCAGATGTTCCTCTGCCTCTTCCCTTCAAATTTAAGTGGCTTGGAAAGGGGGAAGGAAAATGGCCCTGACAATGGCCAAAAGGCGGAATTGCATGGATGTCATTCTGTGCTAAGAAAGACCAGACAGCCTCTTTGCTCATTTGTCAGTTAGTAATACTTCAACTACAGCTAGCAGAATGCATGACCAATGTGGCTTAAACAATAAGTACATTTTTTGTTTACTTAACAAGAAGCCCAGTAGCCCCACTGTCAGGGATGGTCCATCGGACTTCTGTTATCTTTCTCCTCCGCCATACTCAGCTTCCTTTCTGTTGGCAGGGGTTACCACAGCTCTAAGTATTTCACAGCAGAATTCAAAAACTAAAGCAAGGGAGTCCACATTCACCAAAAGAAAGGGGAGATTTTTAAGGAATCTCCTCCTTTCTCCTCTCCAAAAGAATATATGTTTCCTAGGTACCCCCAACAGACTTCCTACATGTTGTTTTGACCCAAAATGAGTCACGTGTACACTAGTAGGTCATTAAGTGGCAAAAGGAAATGAGACTTTTACAGTTCACTCAGACCAATGATTCTCCTACGGGCTGAACAAAATCAGGGCTCTGTCAGCAGGGAAGAGGGACAAATGACTGTTGAGTAGTCACCCTAGGACCATTTCACATGCTTCCTTGGGTCTGGGTACATTCACTATAGAGTAGAGCTGCCCTTAAAAAAAAAGGTCATTTATACAAACAACAGCTATTCTGCAACTAGATGGAAGGTAATTTACATGGTGATTCACCTCATTCACAGATAAATCTCAGGGTGCGGAGGCTGTTGGCCTCTAGCATCAGCTCCAGAGCTGCACACTGCTGAGTGGGGCTTACTGCATGACATTCAGAGGCGTAATGAGCGCAGGCCTCTTCCTTGGGAAGGCCGAGGGCAGTGAAAAAGGCAGGAGCTCTCGTTCCTAGGTTCAGACCTTACATCAAGCACTGGCTGGGTAAAACTGAGTAAGGGACTATGCTCTCTAGGTCACAGATGTGAATGCCTTCCTTGCTGTGTATCTGTCATTTTAAATGGAATATTCCATGAAGATGCCTGGTGTATGATATGGGCCCAGTGAATGGCGGTCCTTATTGATAAGATGATGGTGGTGGAGATGGACTTGGAGGCTCACAGGCCTGGTTTTGAGCCCTGCCTCTGCCACTTCTTGATGGCATGACCACAGACAAGCTGTTTGAATTCCATGAACCTCAATTTCCTCCAGTCAGTCCCTTCATAATTCAGGGATTCCATGAGAACATGTATGCATTAGTTACTCTGTGAACTGTAATATTTGGTGTAATGATAGCTGGTAATAATGTCATTTCTGCCAGCCTTCCTTCTACAGGCAAGAACAAACATGTTCTTGTCGAGATGGCGAGAAGAAAATGTATTTTCATAGCTCACATTAAAATCACATTTGTAATTACAACATTTCAAGGGAGCTTTGAATATCACTTGTGTCCTGTGAAGAATTTCAGGATTTTTGAATGACTGGATTTGTGTGTGTATCTCAAGGTGTTCTCCACTAGGCCACTTTCCAGAAGGATATATAATAAGAATCCTAGATAATCATCCAAGCCATTCGCTCAAAACCTAATGTCTAACTTCTCTTATGAAACTAAGCATCATGGGACACGGCTTTTCAAAGACATAATGAGACTCCCCTTGAGTCTTTATTTTGTGCCTCTAGCCACATCCTCGTAGGTTATTTGGGGAAGCAGTTAAGACATCTCAGTTGCATTGGGTCCAATATTCCTCCACTATTACTAGCAGAGTATAAATAACCCCTGTCATTTATTCATTACATTTAGGCTGGCATAAGAGAGAGGCATTTCAATTACCATTAATAAAGAAGGTTATTGGGTTATTCCAAATTCTGAGTCTGAATCATAAGCCCTTTAAAATCAGACACTGTGTTGTGGTGAGAACCACCATTTTATTGAAGCAAACCTTATTGCTGAGACAGTTTTTGTTTTTTTAAGAATCACATCCAGATAGATTCTGCAACCAAGCAGTGGCTGATATGAACATTCTAGGAGATGCCAGATGCTAACCATCCACTATGGTGTGGCAGCCATGTATCCTATCTTTGAACAAAAAACTAAGGGAGTGTTTTGTAAAGGAGCCATTAAAGGACATAAATGTTTTCAAGTCGAGCTTTAAGACTGCCAATTAAATAATTCATTACACTGGTTGCCAATACCCATGAGCTTTAAATTTCTTGCTCAGTGATTTCCAAAGGAGTGACTTAGGAGAAAATCCACCTCTTTAAATGCACATGGAAATGATATGTGCTGAGGGACCAGAGGCAGACTTATAGGCCGGTGGGGATATTGGTGCTTGTTTACTAAATACAAAGTGACTACCTGAAGTTTCACAACCACAACTGGTGAGACACAGAATGAGAGATGCCAGAGGCCCCTCCCCACCCTGCTTGTGAAAGACCTTTGTCCTTGATGGGGCGGCGTTGGAGGTGAACATTCCCAGCCCTTTGATGGGTATTGGTTAAACTTGGGGTTTAGTAGTAGTTTTTCAGGTTTCATGTCTAGGACGCAAACAGAATTATACCCAAGGAAGAAGGATAAAGGCTAAGAATAGAGGGGCTTCTCCAGCTTGCGTTGCTCAGGCGTAGACACACCTGCTTCCTGTACAGAGGAGGAGTGAGAGGAGCAGGGGCAGGCAAGGTAGTGGCTATTGCTCAGAGCAGACCAGTGCAGGACAAAATGGTTCTGGACCTGAGATGCACTTTAGGATCACCTGGGGAGCTCTAAAAATACTGATTCTTGGACTCCACCTGGACCACCGGAATCTCAGTCTCCAGCCTGGGCATCGGGGTTTATTGTGAGCGCTCTGGGTAATTCATATGGAGTGTGGGGACCATGGCTCTGACCACTCATTATTTGAAACGTGAGCTAGTTCTCATTGATCTCAATCATGGAAAACAACCTAGAAATCCTCATTTATTCAGAAAGAACGGTAGTGTCAGTGTTGAAAGTTATAGATTCAAAGAAGAAAGAAAAATGTATGGAAGGTGCCAAGAGTGAGCTCTTCGGGGTTCCATAAACCCCTGAAATTGTGTGTCAGGTTTGAGCATATGTGGGTCTCTACATTTAAGGAATGGAGGGAGAGGGGCTAAAGTTCTTTCCTTTCAGAGATTTCTCAAAGGAAGTCACAGACAGCAAGTCTTTTAGCAACTGCTGGGAGGGCAGCCACCTTCATGAAATTCATGGCCACACCAAGGCACACAGTTTTTAAGAAAGAAAGCCTACAGACAGGAGGGTCCTGAGTGCGTCCCTAAAATCTCAGTTTTCTCCTGTTGTTCCCACACCCTCTAACTGCTCTGGCCACCAGTCTGGTTCCCAGGACTGACCCAGAGAAAGCCGCCTTTCGGTGGTA